ACACATTTGTCTCTCAACACCCAGGAGAGGCAACAATAATACCGGTGTTTCAGAGAACAAAATAGATCCATGGGGAGGTTAAAGGAAGTTTCCAAATTAACAGGACAAATCAGTAGTATACCAACAGTTGGAAGCCAGGAATGTTGTATTTTAAACATTAGACCACATTCCTTCTGATAATGCCTGACATTTGTAGGATTGAGCTAAGGTACAATGAACAGTATAGATGGCCGTATGCTTATGAGTACAACCTCTTTTTGACCCAGAAAAAGAAGCGGAATGAAAATGAGACAGCTACGGAAGGCGAAGACTCAGCAATGACTGACATACCACAGATAGAAGAAATGACAGACATTGTAGAAATGAGAGAAGAGAATGAATAATAAATGGGACCTGATTGTTCTCTGCAGGGACAAATAGAATGACACTTCAGCATCTTTTCTTCTCTCATACTTATTTTTTTGTTTTTATTTTTGTAATGAAGAGGTCTTGATTTAAAAGGCTTCAGATAAATTCTCTAGCATACTGAGTATGCTCACACTTATGAGGGACCTAAACAAAGGTCTTTGCTTTTGCTTGGTCAATTGAATTTGTTTTCTTGCTCCATGCAAACTCAAAAGATATGGCTGCATCATACAAAAGGGCATTTTTCTCACATATTCATCTTCTTTGGACAATCTGCATTTATCAACCAAAGCCCTCTGTGTCTGTGTCATTGACTCTGCTGCTTTTCTTCTCTCTATCAATTTTTTTCTTTTGTTGTTGAGTATTTTTTTTAAAAAAACAGCCTTTGAAAATGCAACTTTATTTCATTTGCTTGACAATGATTTTGCTATCTAAACAAATGTACTGTGGTGGGCCATTATGATTTGTTTTCACTCCTCATTCAATGTTATGCTGTATATTATTACAAAACAAGATAGGAAGGCATGAGTTCCAATGAGCATATGGTATATAAAAATAATAAAAGGGATGCGAGAAATACAGGACAAAAATGCTCTTTAGCCTTCCTTAAATTATCTGAGGGGGAAGATTTTTCCAAAATGGTACACATTAAGAAGTTTTATAGATCATTGTTCCCAAGTCTTACATATCATTTCCATATAATCAGTTTCCATTCGCCTTTCCAGAAGAGGATGCTACAGTTGGTGGAGTGGTGCATGTGTGTCTAAGGGTACGTCTACACTGCAGTAAAACATCCGCAGCTAGTCTGTGTTAGCTGACTTGGGGTATGTCTACACTGCAGAGTTTTTCCGGAAAAAATTACACTTATGTCCACACTGCTATGGCGTTCTTTCAACCAAGTCAAAAGAACGGAGAGGTTTTTCTGACAGCGGTAAACCTCTTTCTACGAGGAAGAAGCCTTTTTTCAAATAAGCTTTTTCGGAAAAAGACGTGTGTGGATGCGGAAGAATGTTTTTTCGAAAGAGGCCCCCAGGAAAAAGCACAGGTGCTCTTGTGGCTACTCTGTCCACAGTAATCACAACTAAAATGCGAGAGAGCCTCCTATCAGTGTGGACTCTGCTTTTTTGGTGCGCTTTGGCTGTGTGGATGCTCTCTTTCAAAAATGTTTTTCCGGAAGATCTCTTCTGGAAAACTTCTTCCAAACAAAGCCTGCAGTCTAGATGTAGCCTAAGGCTCTTGGGATGTGGGTGTGCCACTGTACAGTTTCAGGTAGATTTTGGGCTGGAACCCAAGCCTAAAGGTTTACATCACATTTATGGCCCCTTAGCCCAGACCCTGTAAGCCCCATCACCTGACACCAGGGGTGTTTTATTGCAATGTACATGTGCCCATCTCTCCAAAGGGAGAAGGTGTAGAAAAGTTTTACCAAAATTCTGGTCCACTGATCATAAGTTCTGTGTACAATTAATTTTTAAAGTAGTTTGCTACACAATTATTTCTACAATCTGTTCAAAAACATACATATAGCTTAGAGTGTAGCCCCTTAATACATGCAGCCGTACTAAATATATAGGGAGATTTCTTTAACCTGATTCCCTATAAAAAGTAAATCCAAATCAATGTGGGAGAAATTTGTGTGCCTGCCACAATGGTGAAGTCCCACATTAAGAATCCAATTCTACAATTCTTGCTCACACTGAGTAGCCCTTGTGAGAGGAGTTTCATGGGAATGAGGAGAACTGCTCGCCACATGAATAAGTGTTGAAATGCTGTGCCATGTAAACAAGGTGGGCATTGTTAGGCTTAAGTACGGCTTAAATATCATAAAGGACCTTCGTATGAGAGATGGGTATTAGGATGAATTTCATCCTATATGATACATCCGTAAATTATGAATTTAAATTTTATTTAGTAAAGTATATTTTTGTAAGTTTTAGAAGTTAATTATTATTTAATTATGGACAAATTTAGTTTCTACATTACTTACTCAGTAGTCCTTATGCTTCACAGAACTGATCAACTCTAAAATTATTATTTTAAACGTTATATCAATATGTGTATATATACATATCTGTGTATAAATATATATATTGTATATTATGTGTAATTTATTTTAGGTTACAATACACTTCCTATTGTTCAAAGTTGAGTAAAAAAATTTATAATACAATACAATATTTTCTCATATACTGGTTATACCAGTAGTGAAACATATTGTATCAATGAACATTGCATTTTATTTGCATCGTTTGTACTGTTTGTTATACGTACAACTGCAATAAGATAAAAAATGAAATTTTGAATGAGAGTTGCAAAAATCAGTCCATTGCTATTGAAAATGGTGCCATGGGAGAGGTGAAACGTAATGAGTTTTAATGCTATTAGGAGGGTTTTTTTTCCCCCCACTATTTCTTATAGTAGAAGAAATACATTCACCAACTTTGTGCGGTATTAGACAGTGCACATATAACTTAATTCATGAGTGTAGACACACACAGCCATGTGTATATACCCTGTATATAGATTGATGTAATTACAGTGACCAGTTCAAGGTCTAATCTCTATTGCCATAATTTTGTTTTATCTGATACATCTGGGTTCAAATTTGCAACATACAGTGTTTTTGACAAAAGCAGAGCTAAACTAAGAAAATAATTTATTGTAATATTTCTGCTGGTACCTGACTAGAAATTTAAGCAGCAGTATTTTTGAATAGTTGTGAGCTTTAAATATTTATGTAGTTAAAAATTTCATAAAAACAGCAAAAATTAAAAAATGAATATTTAAATGCTAAAGCTTTTTGTTTAGCTAAAAGTTTTAGCGTATGCAAATACCAGAATCTTGATGACACAACTGAATGTGTTCAGCTAGTATCATTGTAGTGACTTTCAAATGAGGAAAAAATGTTCAATATTCCTTGTATGATGAATCTAGAAAAATCAGTGATCAAGGGAAAGAAGGGTTTGAGTTAGATTTCAGATATACTTTTATAGCACTGCATGGCTTGTGTAATGACTATTTGATACCATTTCCAATGTGTTGTGCATTTCCTTAAATTATATTATTGCAGAATTAGACATGTTTCTACACTACATAATTTAGAACATCATGAAACAGTGGGCTATCTAGTCTGTACTGCAATGAACACATGTCAGTTGTATGGACACCCATAGGAGGATTATGTAAAACACGCTCTTCTGCACTATTTTTGGCATTTTTCATGAGTAAAATTTTCAAAAGATTGTTTTTCACTGAACTCTCATTGAAAGTCCATAGTTTAGAATCATTTAGGTGTCTGTGAAAATTTTACCCAATACCTTTTCTTTTCTAAAAGGATTTTGTTGAATTCCAGTAGCTTCCCCTATGTATGGCTATTTCATTATTATTATGCTATTATTGTGGCAGATATAAAGTTATCCCCTTGCTGAAGAACTAGGTACAGTCGTTTCATGAGTGAATCTGTAGAGAGATGCTAGCCTTTTCATGTGTGTTGGAAATTGCTAAATTATTAATATTAAACCATAACACAAGAAGAACAAAACTGGTTTGTATTCTACAGCTCAAGCTTAAGACTGTGTGAACATGCTTTACATGTCTAAAAACAAGAGATGAGTGCTGATGATTTTTAGATATTTGTGGATATTTAATATATACACAGAGTTATTGTACTTCCTTTACAGATTCTTTGATACTGAAGGAGCATTCGTTACGCTTATGGCCGCTTTCTCTCACTTACTAAACCATGGGCTTGATAAAGAAGGATCTAGACTAGATTACCTGGAAGTGAGTGATGGGATACCACATGGTTCCCAGTAAACAGCTCAACTTCCCCTTTAGTGGCACAGATGTGCAAGGAAGATAAGTAAATTGTCTGCCTGGTAGCTAGTGCTCCACAGGCAGGGACATAGGATGGGGGAATTACAGAAGATTGCAGGTTTTCTTTTTTGCTTATTTTGCTGTCTTATAACTATTTCCTTTTGAGGAACAAATCTTGCTGTCTGCTTTAGTATTATTTTCTGCTGAATCATGGCAGCATCTCACAGACACACAAGGGCTACGTCTAGACTGGCATGATTTTCCGCAAATGCTTTTAACTGAGAAGTTTTCCGTTAAAAGCATTTGCAGAGAAGAGCATCTAGATTGGCATGGACGCTTTTCCGCAAAAGCACTTTTTGCGGAAAAGCATCTGTGCCAATCTAGACGCTTTTTTGCGCAAAACAGTACTGTGCTGTCTACACTGGCTCTCTTGTGCAAATGATTTGTGCAAGAGTGCTTTTGCCCAAACGGGAGCAGCATAGTATTTCCGCAAGAAGCACTGGTTTCTTACAGTAGGAAGTCAGTGTTCTTGCAGAAATTCAAGTGGCCAATGTAGACTGCTAGCAAGTTTTTCCGCAAAAGCAGCTGATTTTGCAGAAAAACTTGCCAGTCTAGACACAGCTAAGGGGTCTAAAATAAGCAGTCAGCTGATGACACCAGGAGAGCATAGCAAGCTGCCATGAATGAGAAGCACTAATCATTTTTAAGATTACTTGTTCAAATCCAACATTTTGAAGGATGGCTTCTGTTATTTAAACAGCATGGTGAGATGGCTTTCATTTCTGCTTTGTTAGAGCCTGGTGATCCCGTATTTAGAAATGGCCCATCATTGGTGGCAGGAGGCAATTTCAGCTGCCTCGTCCTGCTCAGGCTAGAGTGCACTACTGGATTATTGGTAGGGCTTGATCTTGCTTTGATTAGAAGCAGCTACAGATTCTCTCTGCAACTGGTAGGCTACAAAATTCTCTGTTCATTTAAAGTCATCTTGCAGGGATTTGAGAATTATAAAATGAAAGTGTCAGTTCTGCTAAGCATTTTATTTTCCTAATGTGACATTAAACAGAGCTGTGGATTATCAGTGCTTAATTTACAGTTTCGTCAGCAATGGACAGTACCTCCCTAACCCCTTTATGTTTGTTTATAATTACTACCAAGACGTAGCTAATAGAACAGGCCTGGGCAAAATGTGGCCAAGCCACCAGATCTGGCCTGCGGATGTAGAAGGGAGCTCCTAGCAGGCTCTCCTGCTTGCCCTGCACGCTGCTCAGAAAAGCAATGGTGGGGCTGCTGTTTCTCTTTAAAAACTGTGAGTACGGAGGGGGGAAAGCTTAAAGCATAACTCCTACCCCCAGCACAACCCCATTGGCCGGCTTCTGGCCAGAAACTGGCCATAGGAGCTGCCTGTTTGAATAACAGGCAACATACAAAGCACCATGCCCCCCTCCCTTCCTGCTCAGTTATTCACACAAGCACCACTGCTAGTGCAGCTGCCAAGCTGGCTGGCTGAGAAACTTGTTAAGCTCTGCAAGCATTTAGCTCTACAGGCAGGCTGGTAGGGCTGCTGGCTGGTAAGTCTCCTGGCACTCCACCCCCTCCAGTCCCCAACCTTCTGCTCCCCCCACACTCAACATATCCAAATCCTCTGCCCCCCTCCTGCACCCATACCCCCCTCCCAGATCCGGTATCCCAATCCTCTTGTACCCTAGATCAATATCCCCTGGTACCCGAAGTTGCAACCCAACTGCTACACCTCAGGCCCTGCCCTAGGTCACAG